TATATCTATTATAATATTCACACATTCATACACATACAACACATAACATATAAATGTAAGAGGAAGATCGATTTTGACTTGAATGTTTCCCGTTGATTTCGGGCAATCTCAAGATAGAGATATATTAGATTTACAGTACTTATCTTTCGTTATTTGCTCGATGTTTCGTGCGCCCAAAAACTTCACCTTTACAAATTTGAGGTTCGTCTGGATGATTGTTCGTCGTATTTCGACATGCAATTATCGTCAAATTCTCACAATATTCACCAGACCCAGAAATTCGGCGATGGCGTCACCACGTGTTTAGCGATTTTGTGAAAGAGAGATTGGATATTATATATCCCCAATGAAAAACTACAAATACAAAATTTGGATTAACTTACAATCAAAATTCTTGCACTTTTTTATACTTATCACTTATCACAACGTACCCCTTTTATGGGTTTTCAGATAGATATTACTCGGGACTCCAGAAACGTCTGGCCCGAGAAGCGATCCTTCCTCTTATGAAATTACGCACGAGAAGCCAAATGCCTCATACCTTTCAGCCTTTACATTCGTCATATTTCGGATTCATCCGAGATTAATCGAAGTACAAATCGAGAACTAAAAGAGAATGAAGATAGAGAAATAAGAGAGAAGAAAAAGAAAGAGAAGAGAGAGGAGAGAGGAGGAGGAAATTGCACAGGAATAAAGAGCAAGTAAATTAAAGAGTTCTTGTGGAGGAACAGCCAACAATTGGATCTTATAAAATCACAAATTATCGTTGCTGAATCTATCCAAACACAACTGGGGAAATTTCTGGAAAAAGAAGAGAAGAAAGGAAATGGCGAAATAGAAAGAGAAGACTAAAATTAAGGAAATGAAAGAGAGGATGGAAGATGGAAATACGCAGGAGGTAGAAAAGAAAAAAGAAGAGATAGAGAATAAAGAGAAAAAGAGTCAAGAGATGATGAAACGAGAAATTCAAAAATGAGATGAAAGAAAGATGTGAAGAGAAAAAGAGACAAGAGGAGAAGCAGGAAGAAAGAAAGGAAAGAAATTTAAACAGATAGAATCCAAAGTGAGGTATTTAGAAAATAAAATTAACAAGAAAAATGAAGGATATTCCTCTAGAGAAGAGTACCTCCGTATGAGGGAATTAAATATTGAGAGAAGAGAGAAACAATTACTCACATTACAGCGAGCAGCAGTTTCTCAGCTGAAACCCATAACAACGGTAAGAAAATTTGGTTTTCAATTTTTTTAATTCTATAAATTTCTTTTTTCTGTTGATCGTCCGAGTTTTTGAGAAAATGTTTGTTTCACATTTTAAAAATTTAATGAAAAGAGAAATTTTGAGTTAAATTATAGCAAATTTTTGTCCAATATAAATTGTTGAAAAATAGTTTTATCTGCTTTCCAGAAATACCGAGGAGGCCACCAAAGTAGCAGTCGAGGGGGTTATCGTGGAGGTAACCGTGGAGGAAATCAAAATCGAATTTGGGGACGGACTCAAGATAGTTTCTGGGGAGGATTTCGATGTCAACAACCTGTTCGAAATTTCTTTACGAAAACCGATCGAGGTCATCCCTATGGAGATTACAATTATAATAACGGACGCAACTATAATCGCAGTTTTTAAAAATTGAAAATATCAGACATTTTTCTTATGTTTTGAATGTTCAAATGAACGAAATCTATTTATTTTTTCTTTAAATTTCAATTTTGATTGTTATGATTTCGCGTTAGGTATTTAAAAAAGAATGTATAACAAATTTAATTGTTTAATTTTGCTCTTTATAAGGCTGTAATTTTTAAAAATATTAATTTTGGCTAAAAAATTCGTTCATTTGAGCGTTCAGCAGTGGGATTACTAATAGCGCTAGTCGCTATGTAGCGCTTTTCGTTATTTAGAATTTAAAACTTACATATTTTTAGTGAAATTTGTTCCAAATCAACGGTAAGAAAATTTGGTTTTCAATTTTTTTAATTCTATAAATTTCTTTTTTCTGTTGATCGTCCGAGTTTTTGAGAAAATGTTTGTTTCACATTTTAAAAATTTAATGAAAAGAGAAATTTTGAGTTAAATTATAGCAAATTTTTGTCCAATATAAATTGTTGAAAAATAGTTTTATCTGCTTTCCAGAAATACCGAGGAGGCCACCAAAGTAGCAGTCGAGGGGGTTATCGTGGAGGTAACCGTGGAGGAAATCAAAATCGAATTTGGGGACGGACTCAAGATAGTTTCTGGGGAGGATTTCGATGTCTACAACGTAGATAAAATATTTTAGGAAATTGACATGAATTCTATGTCAATGTCCTTATCTAGAGGGGTTATGTTTATATTTTCTTCTAAATTACCATCTTGCAGTTTAAGCTTTGAAAAAACTGTCAACGGTATTTTATTTTGGTCATGATTTGGAACAAATTTCACTAAAAATATGTAAGTTTTAAATTCTAAATAACGAAAAGCGCTACATAGCGACTAGCGCTATTAGTAATCCCACTGCTGAACGCTCAAATGAACGAATTTTTTAGCCAAAATTAATATTTTTAAAAATTACAGCCTTATAAAGAGCAAAATTAAACAATTAAATTTGTTATACATTCTTTTTTAAATACCTAACGCGAAATCATAACAATCAAAATTGAAATTTAAAGAAAAAATAAATAGATTTCGTTCATTTGAACATTCAAAACATAAGAAAAATGTCTGATATTTTCAATTTTTAAAAACTGCGATTATAGTTGCGTCCGTTATTATAATTGTAATCTCCATAGGGATGACCTCGATCGGTTTTCGTAAAGAAATTTCGAACAGGTTGTTGACATCGAAATCCTCCCCAGAAACTATCTTGAGTCCGTCCCCAAATTCGATTTTGATTTCCTCCACGGTTACCTCCACGATAACCCCCTCGACTGCTACTTTGGTGGCCTCCTCGGTATTTCTGGAAAGCAGATAAAACTATTTTTCAACAATTTATATTGGACAAAAATTTGCTATAATTTAACTCAAAATTTCTCTTTTCATTAAATTTTTAAAATGTGAAACAAACATTTTCTCAAAAACTCGGACGATCAACAGAAAAAAGAAATTTATAGAATTAAAAAAATTGAAAACCAAATTTTCTTACCGTTGTTATGGGTTGCAGCTGAGAAACTGCTGCTCGCTGTAATGTGAGTAATTGTTTCTCTCTTCTCTCAATATTTAATTCCCTCATACGGAGGTACTCTTCTCTAGAGGAATATCCTTCATTTTTCTTGTTAATTTTATTTTCTAAATACCTCACTTTGGATTCTATCTGTTTAAATTTCTTTCCTTTCTTTCTTCCTGCTTCTCCTCTTGTCTCTTTTTCTCTTCACATCTTTCTTTCATCTCATTTTTGAATTTCTCGTTTCATCATCTCTTGACTCTTTTTCTCTTTATTCTCTATCTCTTCTTTTTTCTTTTCTACCTCCTGCGTATTTCCATCTTCCATCCTCTCTTTCATTTCCTTAATTTTAGTCTTCTCTTTCTATTTCGCCATTTCCTTTCTTCTCTTCTTTTTCCAGAAATTTCCCCAGTTGTGTTTGGATAGATTCAGCAACGATAATTTGTGATTTTATAAGATCCAATTGTTGGCTGTTCCTCCACAAGAACTCTTTAATTTACTTGCTCTTTATTCCTGTGCAATTTCCTCCTCCTCTCTCCTCTCTCTTCTCTTTCTTTTTCTTCTCTCTTATTTCTCTATCTTCATTCTCTTTTAGTTCTCGATTTCTTTTTTCTTTCTTTTCTCTTTCTTTATTCTCTGCTTCATCTATTTCTTCCTCATTCTTTTCTAAAGTCTGTGCACTATTCTTTGCGATATTTTTTTTATTCCACTCTTTTTCTTTTTTTCCTTTAACTTTTCATCTTCCATTTTTTCACTTTCCGCTTTGGGCTGCCTTCCGCTTCTCCTTGTAGAAGTTTTATTTTTGAATAGTTGGACTGAAAAATTAAAACATTACTCCAATATATTCAACAAATAATTTTTATACTGATATAATACAATTTTTCTAAATTTAGTGTAAGACTTTTTACGTGAATTTAGAAACACTAAATTAAATCATTTTTTGTCAAACAAATATAAATTGTAACGAATTTGTATACGTCGTTGTTGCCGGGTTTAATATGTGTGTACTTCGATTAATCTCGGATGAATCCGAAATATGACGAATGTAAAGGCTGAAAGGTATGAGGCATTTGGCTTCTCGTGCGTAATTTCATAAGAGGAAGGATCGCTTCTCGGGCCAGACGTTTCTGGAGTCCCGAGTAATATCTATCTGAAAACCCATAAAAGGGGTACGTTGTGATAAGTGATAAGTATAAAAAAGTGCAAGAATTTTGATTGTAAGTTAATCCAAATTTTGTATTTGTAGTTTTTCATTGGGGATATATAATATCCAATCTCTCTTTCACAAAATCGCTAAACACGTGGTGACGCCATCGCCGAATTTCTGGGTCTGGTGAATATTGTGAGAATTTGACGATAATTGCATGTCGAAATACGACGAACAATCATCCAGACGAACCTCAAATTTGTAAAGGTGAAGTTTTTGGGCGCACGAAACATCGAGCAAATAACGAAAGATAAGTACTGTAAATCTAATATATCTCTATCTTGAGATTGCCCGAAATCAACGGGAAACATTCAAGTCAAAATCGATCTTCCTCTTACATTTATATGTTATGTGTTGTATGTGTATGAATGTGTGAATATTATAATAGATATATGAGACGGAAATTATAATAGAAAATCTTTTTATATGAACAAGAACCGCTGAGTATTATATCACAATAAATTTTAAATTGACTTTAAGTTATTTACTCTGAAAATAATTAATTAATTACCCTGAGATTCTTACATTTTGGCGCCCAACGTGGGGCAATATAAATCGATATAAATTAAGTTTTAAATTGAAGTTGAAAATTTTCATTTAAATAATATATTCGTACGTGATAAAATTTAATAGTGTTAAATATTTAAGCTATCGATAACATGGCGACAAGGAAAAAGGCTCAGGACGACGAGATTCAAGGGCAGGCATTGTATCAACAACAACAACAGATTGACGAGCTGAAAGGCGAGCTAGATAGATTGCGTGCTGAGCGAAAATCGACTACTCAAGAAAACGAATTGCTTCGCCGGAAAGTTGTCGAAATGGAGGAGATCAACAAAAGGTTGCAACAGAGTGCAGCGCGAAACGTAGGTAATACAGTTGACAAAAATAGTCCAATTGCTGATAATTTAAATAAAAGAAATAATTTACAAAATAATAATTCTAAAAGTAAAACAAATCAAATAAAGCCAAGTGATGACTCATCTAGTAATCAAAGTGAAAACGACATTCAGATAAATAATAATGAACCTTTAAGTGGAATTTTAAAACATTTACAAGCGTTACAAGTAAATTTGTCATTGCCAGTGTTTGATCCTGATAATACAAATCCGGTTGAATTTATACGGAATTTCGAAAAATATTGCGTGAGAAAAAACATTACGGATGGGGACAGACTTTTAATAATTGAGGATGCATTGAAGGGTTCGGCAAAAATTTGGTTGGAAACGCTTTCGGTGCCTTGTCTGAATTACAGTGAATTTAAAGATTTATTTCTTAAAAATTTTTTTTCTATTGAAGTACGCATGCAGCTTAAAAGCGAATAGGAAAATAAAAAATACTGTGATTCGGATGGGTCACTGCAGGCGTATTATAATAAACAAATAAAAGTAGCAAAAATAACCGTACCTAAGATGGAAATATATGAAGTAAATTTCATTATTATTTGTCAGTTTCCACCAAGAATTGGAGATATATTATCAACGATTGATTATTCGGATAGTGAAAGAATCTCGAAGGCAGTCGCTCGGTTGGATTTGTCTGGGGGATGGAACCAGGGACGAAATAGAGAAAACGTGAATCCGAATAGTAGTCATGGTAAACATAATTCGAATAATTGGGAAAATAAGAATTTATCGACAGAAAATAACTCGCAAAATAATCGGGGGCGAAATGATGATAGACAAAAGGATTTTCGTGAAAACTATCGAAAAACGGTGCCGAATAATAATTGGCGTGCCCGAGAAAATAGACAATACGATGAAAATAATGAAAAAACGGGTCGAATAAATACATCGCAAGGTGCAAATAATACGGATCGTGACAAGGTGCATAGAAGTGCTGCGAATGTTCGTACATTACAAATAACCAAGAAAAATGAATTTCTCGAAATGTTATGCTGGGACGTAGAACCGGAGGCGGTAAATGATCGTAGCGAAAAGGAAAATCGTGATAATAGTCCGCGAATCGTAGTAAAAATAAATAGTGACGAATATAATATGCTAATTGACACCGGAAGTGAGGTGACGTGCATATCTGAAACATTTTATCAATTAATAAAAAACGATACAGGATTACTCTAGATGCCAGTTGCGAACGTGTCAATTCATGGAGCCATTCAAAATAAACAAATTACAATTAGAAAACAAGTTCAGATTTCTTTATAGATAGGTAATCAGGAAGTGCGATTTCCGTTTTTAGTTATTCCGGGGTTACCCACAGAAATCATCGCTGGTTCGGATTGTCAGATGTATTTCGGCATGATAATTGATTATGAAAAACATAAAATTAAAATTAAAGGAGAATATTTATCGGATAAACAGGTTAAATTTTTCTCGGAAACGATAAATAATTTGACGCGTTTCTGTCAACATGTACGAATTAATGATCATTTTTGGTATCATAGCATAAAAAATGAAGACAATAATTCCTCTGGCCTTTTTTTTATTCATGATGATCGGGTTAAAGAAATAGAAAGTTTGGGGGATGCGAGGGACAGTGATCAAATAGATAAGAAGTCAGATGATTCTCGCGGCTTTGAATCGGAAGTGCATTAGTATGTAGAAAAATTGAATCTGTTGACTGACGAACAAAAGAGGATAGTCGTAGATCTGTTTATAACTAACCGTGAAGTTTTTTCGCTAAAGCCGGGATGCACGTCGAGTTATCAGCATATAATCAAACCGATCAGTGATAAGTTGTATGTAAAAAAGTCATATCCAACGCCGATTAAGTTGCGCGATTTGATAGATGATCAAATTTTAGAGATGGAGGACTTAAAGATTATTGAAAGATCCGACGCGCAGATTTGTAATCCGTTGCGGATAGTTAATAAGAAAAATGGCAAAGTTCGGGTGTGCCTTGATGCAAGATGGATTAATAAATATATAGAATATAGAAATATATAGAACCTGTTGCAGGATGTAGACGGAATACAATTTATGTCAACCACCGATTTCGTTATGGGCTATAGGCAGGTGCCACTAGTTATATCGATGATTTTTTTATCCCATCTAAGAGTTTTGAGGAACATGTTGAGACCTTAGATATGTTATTTAAAAAATTGATCTCGTTAGGATTCACTTTGAGTTTGCAAAAGTCAAATTTTTTTTGCGAGTCAGTTAAATTTCTCGGAGTGATAATTGATAAAGATGGAGTTAGGGCTGATCCCGAAAAATTACAAACAATCGAAGATTTCCCCATACCGCGAGATAGAAAACAATTACAAGGCTTTCTAGGGGTGTGTGGATTCTCGCGCAGATTTGCCTTGAAACACGCGGAATTTGTAACTCCGTTTCGAGATTTATTGAAACCCAATGTCAAATGGAACTGGACAGGGAATCATGTTCATTCATGTTTGCCAACTGTTACTTTCAAATAAAATAATTAACTAGTGACGAAATAAATTATACTATAATATTGTAAATTTAAAAATTAATAAATTTTTTTAATTAAATTAATTAATTATTTTTTAATTAAAATGATTTAAAGTTTCATTTCTTGAAAAACTCTTTAACTCACAAAAAATGCCCTATATATTTTTTTAGAGAACCTTTGCGTGAGAACAAAAATTCTATTTCCGAGGTTATATCTTAAAAATTTCTTAAATTAAATTTTTTTTTCCATATTACACAATGTCTAATAGAAACTTTTAATCCTATGAAAAAGATAATAAATATAAATGCAATAAATATTTAATTATTAATATAAAAAAGAAAAGTAAATAATTTATTATTATTATTGGATAAAGTTAAATTATTTTCTTTATTTTTTTGTTAGGATAGAAATTAGAAATAAATGTCTCCTTTTTTCCTTTATTATTATTATGTTTTATTTAGTTTATAATTATTAATTATAAAAAACTTTAAGGTTTAAATTCAGAAATAAAAGTGTTAATATAATAATATTAATAATTATCGTTGCCTCGAATTGCCTTTTTTATAACTTTTGAGATTTGACGTGTTACACTTGAAAAATTTTTCAGGCTTTTAGATATTTCTTTTAATTGCTTCATTTCTTCATCGTGGAAAAATCCTTATGAATTTAATACATTCTTGATTCTAAAAAAAATTGTTAAATTATAAAAGAAAGCAAATATGAGAAGAAAAATACACACAAAAACAATTGCACCAACCTAAATCTATCAAAATGGTACCATTTTTTTGAGTCATCCGAAAGCTAAAAATTTTTTTAAAGTGAAAGTAGCTTTGAATCGCTACGTAGCGAAATCTTCGTAGCGCTGTCGTTATTTGTAATCCCACTCCAGCATTGGGATTACTAATAGCGCTAGTCGCTATGTAGCGCTTTTCGTTATTTAGAATTTAAAACTTACATATTTATAGTGAAATTTGTTCCAAATCATGACCAAAATAAAATACCGTTGATAGTTTCTTCAAAACTTAAACTTCAAGATGGTAATTTAGAAGAAAATATAAACATAACCCCTCTAGATAAGGACTTTGACATAGAATTCATGTCAATTTCCTAAAATATTTTATCTACGTAGCAAATAAATACAACATGAAGGTGGAATCAATTCTCTAACTTCATGTTTGCCAACTGTTAGTTTCAAATAAAATAATTAACTAGTGATGAAATAAATTATACTTTAATATTTTAAATAACGTATTAATTTAATAAATAACAACTTTAAAAAAAATAATCTAGTTTAATGTTAAAATAATTTATAAATGAAATAAATTTTTTTAATTTAATAAATAAAAATTAAGAAAACTAATTTTATTGCAAGAATTAAAAATAATAATTGCATGAGATTTAAAATTAGGATATTCTTTACCAGCCTAAAGTTAAAAATTGATAAATTTTTTAAATTAAATTAATTTAAATTTTTATTTCTTGAAAAACTCTTTAATTCACAAAAAATGCCCTATATATTTTTTTAGTGAAAAGTAAATAGTTTATTATTATTATATTATTGGATAAAGTTGAATTATTTTCTTGATTTTTTGTAAGGATAGAAATTGGAAATAAATGTCTCCTTTTTGCTTCCTCGTGGAGGAAGCTTTGTAGTCCTTTCATTTATAAAACTTTTCAAAGTGGCGGAAACAAATTTTTTTCTTTATAGAAACATGTTATATGAGATCCTGATCAATTGTCCGGATGTATGTGTGTGTGTGTGTGGATCCCTTTTTTGTTTAGAAGATAACTTTAACAGGTTCTAATGGATTTAGATAAAATATGGTAGGCTCATTTATCATATTAATATCTCAAATCTGACCAAAGGATTTTGAAAAATACCCTAAAAAAAAAAATTTTATCGTCTTTTATCCAAAAATTTTTTTTTAATCGAAAAAATTTTTAAATAGAAAAATTTAATGTTATATATAATAAAATCGTTTTCCTTACGTCAAGACGAATCGATCGATATATATAAAGTATACATTTAAGGTAAATTTAAAGAATTAATGAAAGTTAAAAAATCAAAAATTCACATTTTGGCTATAAAATTTTGTGATTTTTTAAATTGAAGTTTATATATGAAATAATTGTATTCCTTACGTGAAGATGAATCGATCGATATATATAAAGTATACATTTGAAGTAAATTTAAAGAATTAATGAATGTTAAAAAATCAAAAATTCACATTTTGGCAATAAAATTTTGCTTTCTCCACGAGGAAGCAAATTTTTTTGCTGATCGTAAAGAGGAAGCAAAATGTTCATGTAATGAACATCTGAATTTACAACTTGTTTTAGAATTGTTTTGTTATATACTTTCTAAAATTTAATTATTTTTAATGTTTTCGATTACATATTTTCAATAGTTCACCTTAATAACATTAGAAAGAAGTCATGAGGCGTTACAATTACAATTATTTTAAAAAAATTGCATAGAAAATACATTTTTTCTTATATGGGGTGTTGAATAGATTGTCAATTTCAAAATCTGCTGCCGATTGTCGTGATTTAATGACTAACACTGAATATTTAAGTCAAATTTATTTTTTGTAGCAATTTGACGTATTGCAATCAAAAAATAAATTTGACGTCAAAGACAAATCAAATTACATAATGGACTCTCTAAATGTAGTTTGTTAATTTACTTCCGAAACGTCAAAAAACTACACTTATTTTGTGAATTTATTTTTGGATCTACACAATATTCAATTGAAAGTGAATTTTTAATTTAGTTTCGTTTCAGAGAAGATACCTGATTCAAAAATCTTTTTAAAATTAACTAATTATTTAAAACTTTAATTGTAACTGCATTCAAATTTCATATTTAAAAAAAAATTAATTTATGTGACCAATTTCAATTCTGTGATTACCCTCATTTCGATATTGAGGCAGATGTAAAATTGAAAATGTATTTTGTTTGCTTAAAGGCTTTTTCCAGTACTAGATTAAAATATAAATATATTCATTATTTATTTAGTTTTCTCAAACAACCAAACATAAATAAAATTTAATTCTCGTGAAGTAATCTCTGTTTATAACCTTTAAATAATTGAATTTTTTTTTTAAATTCATCTTTCACCTTTTTGGAAGGTAAAAGATAGTATTATTCCAGTTATAATTGTAGTAAAAGAATTTCAGTGTTTTGAAAATGTTTCTTTTTACAGAAATATATTGAAGCTAATTTGAGGTGAAAGATAATCCATATGCAAACTCGTTACATCAACAACAGTTCTTCATGTGCTCCTGATCAATTCTGCGGGTGTGAGTGTGTCTTGAAAGGATGTCCTTCTTCTTATGACAGAAATTCTTAAAAACTTCAAAATTGAAATACAAGTTAGTATTCGTAATATATATTTATATTAATAGGTATATCTAAACATACTCAGAACAAAAAATTTAAAAATTATCTAAAGAAACTTGTTCAAAATTATTTTAATTTATTTTTTAATAAAATTTTTTAAAAAATAAAAATTCTTTTAAGTATATAATAAAAATAAAATTCTTTTGCATTAAAAAAATAAATAATATTTAAAAATTATACATTTCATTCAATATTAATTAATTTAATCGAAATTATTATTGTATTTTTAAAATAGAAGTTTTTATTTTTTGTTTTTTAATATATCACATTTTTATATAGATAAAATTTATCTAACATATTAAGAAAATAAATTAAAAATTTTATAATTTGAGTATTTTCCATGATAAAGTATGTAATTAAAGAAAAACAATTCTAATACTTCTGTGATGAGAAAGCATGAATGTTTGTCTATTATAAAAAGGAAGGAAAATGTTTATTGAATAAAGAAATTTTTTCAGTCGAATTGGACAACTGCCATAAGACATGCAGAAGTAATTTACACTCCGACTGAAGACGACAAGAAGGCAGTTATAGGACAAAAGGTTTACTATTTACTTGCAATTAAACTTGTCGAAAATATATTTAACTCATTTTTAATGTGTTTTCTTCTTTTAAAGGATTTGCTGCCTGTACCAGACGAATAGGAAAGTGGTTTGAGTGTGGTCAAGGTATTCATCACGTGTTTTAATAAATTATCTAAAAATTCATTATTCAATTTCGATAAGTGCATTGTTTTACTTGTTTCTTTTAATATTTCTTTAAAAATTTGCATTTGATATGTTTTATTTTGTCATTTACTTTTTATTACTTTCTCTTGCATATTATTGCTTATTTATTATTGTAATGGTGATTCTAATCTTGATTAGTTATATTGATAGTGATTTTACATTGTGATTAGTAATAGCTATTTTATTGGTGATTATGATAGTAAAGCAATGATTCTAAGAAAGTTATAAATTTGATTATGATTGTTAATAGTGACGGTGATTATGAATTATAATTGAAATGGTAATTGTGAAGTATGAATATGATGATGAATATGATAATGTGTTATCGTGATTGTGAATTAAGTTTAGATTAGTCATTGTCGATTATAATTACGATGGTGATTCTGCTTGCGATTGGTTTTAGTGATAGTGATTTACATTATTAATGGCCATTTTGATGGTGATGGTTAATTCTAATTATGATTGTTATTGGCGATGGAGATTATGAATCATAATAAAAATCATAATTGTAGATTATAAATATGATAATGAATGTGGTGATGTGTTATTGTGATAGTGATCGTGAATTATGTTTAAAATAATAATTGTAGATTACAATCACGGTGGTGATTATAGTTGTGATTGGTGATAGTGACTCGGATTATGAATTATTATTGCGATATAGATTGCAGTGATGATAGTGATAGTGCTAGTGATTTTCTCCATATAAATTTCTAGCAGTAAGTGTTTTTAAAAATTATCATTGACTATTTTTTAAGTTTCCTTGAGCCCTGCCCCTTTTTCTCAATATTTTCTATTCTCGCTTTGTATCCAATAATTTTATCATCAATAACGCGACACTGAAAGCAAACTATATATATAATTTGAGTCCACATTATGAACTTTTATTAATACAGGTATACTGTTTTGTATATAGTTCCAAATCAAAAGGCAAGAAAATAATTCATGTTTAGTAGAGCTTCATTATATTAACAATAAGCAGGATCAAAATAATCAGGATTGTTTATGAAACTGCCTTAATATAATTCAAGTGCAAATTGGAAAAAATTTTGACATTTTTACATTAAATAGAGAGTTTTATCAGTAAAAATCCCAGATAACAAAATGCCAGGCTCCTGGGTAGCCCAGCGCTAGCCCGGTGGCCGATTGACATGCCCGTTGGGCAGGCTAGAACGCAGCATCTTGTGCGCGCCATTGATAGCCATAAGGCTCGCCCCCGTGGCAGGCACCCGCATGCCGGCAGGCTGTACGCCTTAGATACCGATAATATTTTAATGTATAAGAAACATTTTTTTTAATAAAAATAAGTGATCGGATAAAGAAACAATATTTATGAACGATAACACAAATTTATTGCTTTTTTAAATACAATGTATGTTAATGTACACTTAGACGTATTTTTATGTAATTTTTTAGACAATAATACTTAGAAATTTTAACAAAAGTCCAAAAATTAAAAATAGGGAAATTTTACACAAACTATAAACATAATATCGACAAAATGTTCAGCAGCGATTGAATCATATGCCAAAAGTAATTTTCACTGAATTTCAAATTCGTTTTCCTGAGACTTCTTGACATACACTGTCAAAAAAATCTGTATTAAATTTAATAAATTGTATATGAAGCAAATATGAAATACCAGTACTGTAATTTAATATACATTTTTATTAAGATTAATATACATTTACATTAAATTTAATAGAACTTGTACTACATTTAATGTGAATGTATATTAATGTATATTAATCTTAATAAAAATGTATATTACATTTCAGTACTGGTATTGCATATTTGCTTCTTATACAATTTATTAAATTTAATACAGATTTTTCTAACAGTGTATGTCAAGAAGTCTCAGGAAAACGAATTTGAAAAAGAAACGTGATTCTAAGAAACAATTAATTAACGTGTAAATTATGAATAACAGTGATTAAATAGAATTTGCGCAGACCAATAGCGATTAAATCACAGAAGTGAAGCAGGAGCAATTTTCATAAAATTTAAATAGAAATTTAGCATAAATTAATTTCCAATCAGGTAAGTTAAGCTAAAACTTACTTACTAATATAAGAACAAATTAAAAATTAATTTTTTCAACATCGAATATAAATTTCAACAACACTAAGATAAAATTTGGATAACACCAAAACTTTAAAGAGTACTTTAAGTAATAAAAAACAGCAATTCTTAGGATTCATTGAAGTTTTCTTCTTCCTGATCTGATGCTTCCCTTGTTTTTCTTCAACTTGAGGCGGCATCTTTGTTTCGTAGCTTTGAATATTAAAAGCATTGCAGCTTTATAAGCTGTCTTATTCGCAGGTCCAATGAACAATGGACAGTTAATGGCAGCCTCTACAACATATACATAAATATTTCTTTGGTATCAATACAAAAATGAAGCAAACTTAAAAATTAATTAAAAGTTAACAAAGGAACGAATTACGGAAGTTTTTTCTGTAACTGTTAATTCAAATCTCAAGATTTCAACTCAAAAAATTTTTAAAAAGAACTCTATTATAAAAATAAATTTTCAAAACTGAATTCTTTTTTTTTATGCCAAATTATTTTGCAAAAGAATAAAATACCTACTAAGAAAAGAGAGAATATTTAATTGAAAAGCGTTTTAAGTAATTAAATTATAAAAAAGTTAAAATCAAGATTTTTTCGAAAGATTAAATTTTAGAGAATTTTAATTCAAAAATATTTTAAAAAGTTGAATTTTTGAGTAACTTTATGAAAAATAATCAATATTTGCAAAATATTTTAAATACAACTATTCAAAATAATTTAATTTTGAAAGAGAATTTTATACCAAAGGAAAAGTTTGATAAAATTTTTTCCGGCGAACCTGTTGAATAACAGGCGTCGTGAACATATGTAGGTTATGGTGGACTTACCAAATTTTGCCTCTGATAAATCACTTTTTCTATAATTCGCCGGTGTATTTACGTTTAAACGTATATTCTTATTTATAGAATTATTTAAAAACAGAAACACTCGCGAACGTTTTTCGGCACTTTTTTTCACGTTTGCCGATCAACACAAAATGAAAAGATACGTGCAGTTCTAATACACAGCACACCGGGTTTAAGCATGCAGGTTGGGTTGAACCATCTCACTGTTTCCGATCGCTGATTGGTCGACGGTCAGGTGCTTCTATCACGAGACATTTCCCGCTCTGCGTTTGACTCCATTCAATAGATATTCGATTTTTATTCTTATTGGGTCATAATTTCTGAAATTTTTAGTTCCAAAAAATTTTTTTCATAAAATTATAATAACTATTACAATCATTTAGCAGTCTCAAATAAAACATTTTTTTGGTTAAAATCTGCTTGACCGATGAAATAATCAAAAAACAGTTTTTTTTGTTTTAAAATGTAATTTACAAAATTTTTTATTTTTAATAATTTTTTAAATTGCGTATTTATAAAATGTTAATACAAAATTGTGTTCTTCATGTCTCATTAAAAATCTAAAAATTGTTTAATATTCCTCATATATTTCAAATTATAAAACCATTAATAAAATGAGAAATAAGTTAAGAAATAAATAAGAATAGTTATTTAATAATATATAAATTTTTAATAATAAATAATTAATTTTATTGTTTGAAAACTGTGCACAATTGTAGCATTCAATTTGCATAGTTCCCTTACACGTAATACTTATATTTATAAATAATTTTTTGTTAATTATTTTTTATTGAGTGACAATTTTTCTCAACAATTTTATACTCAAAATGTATGTAGAATATAAAACAATTATTTATAAATCTGTAATGGGATATGGAGAATACCTTATATTATCAGTTTATAAATAAGCAATTTAAAAACTATTTTAAAAAATTATTTAAACAAAAGTTGTTGTAAATTACATTTTGAGAAGAAAAAACCTATTTCAATTCTTATGTCTGTCAACTGGATTTCGATAAAAATTTTTTTAAGGCTACAAAAAATTAAGTTGTCAATAACTTTAAAAACAAAACTTTTTTTTCTAAAAATTTCAGAAACTTTATTTTCACAGCAGGAATGAAAAACATGATTTTAGTTGAAGATGAAGTACTTTTTCAAAATTTTACGTGAAGCCTTCAAGAAATTCTTATCCTATAATTTTTATTATACTGCGTAATTCAACAATTGTTATTATTATTATTAATATTTTATTAATATAAATATAATAAATGTATTTATTTCAATTTTTTATTCGAGTGTATATTTTTTTCTGTCACACCGAAGATTTTTTCTCATCCCCTTAAATCGTGTAAATCATTGAATAAATAATAATCCAATTAAAATTAGACACACAGATAAAAATATTTTTTAAAAAATTTATTTTTTTGTAAAGAACAAAAAAAGATTAAGTACCGATTGTAAACATGATAATTCGAAATTTCTTATCTTGTTTCAGTATGATATACAATTTTTTCAAAAAATTTAAAACAATATTTTTTAAAAAAGGCCAAAAGAATTTTGATTTTCAAAATAAGGGTTGAAAGGGATTAAAAAAGAATATACATTTTTTATATATAATATAAAAATACACTACGAATGGAAAATTCACGTATTTGAAAAAAATTCCAGGGGTTTTACTGATTTTCCAGTTTGCTAAACATACTGTGTAAATATTTGATTTGAAAAATAAGGAGAAATAAAATCTAGACAATTGCTGGCCCTCAGCCGGCACGCGATCTAGATAATGTGTAAGACAATACTCCAACCCATTGCTTGCCCGCAGGATTTACCACAATCGCGGCAGCAGGTGCTAGCTGAATCGCAGCGTCACAGCTTACATGCTGTGTAACGGCCGCAGCGTGCCGGGCGGGCCTGGACACCTTTGTTATCTGGGATACCATATAAGTCATCCAAAAGTATAAAAATGTTCACAACGGTTTCAAAAAAATTTTGAAAGTG